ATTGTACACTGTCAGTATCATTAATGCCCATTTTGAGTACCAGTCTGGATACTTGCTTGCCAGTTCCTAAATGCTGGTTTTAAGAAAAATCACAGTATTGAAGGAAACTCAACCAAGCTTCCAATTATTTAAGAATATGATGCTGTTGACTATTAGATGCTGATAACTTCTTGTTCATGCACATCTTCTAAAGAGAGTGAACCATGCAAGAGCTGGGGTACATTAGGGAAAGTGTTAGAGCAAATTCAGGGAGGTAATTATTCCCCTCTACTCAGCTCTGGTGAAACCACATCTGGCCTTGTGTGAAACCACATCTGACCTTGTGTGTCTGGTTCTGGGCTCCTCCACAGTAAATCRGGCATGGACATACCAAAATACTCCAGTCATGGGCCACAGAGATTATTGAGGTGATTGGACTATCTGACAAATGAGACAAGACTGAGAAAGCTGGGGTAGTGTAGTCTAGAGAAGGTCACAGAGATCTTACCAATATYAGAAATAACTGATGTTGTGTGGGAAAAAAGAACACAGGGCCAGATTCTTCTCAGTGAAAGGAGAAGCAGTGGGCAAAGGTGGAAATATGGGAAACTCCACTTAAACCAGTTGTGCAGAGAGGCTGCACAGTCTTCATCTTTCAAGCTGCTGTAAACCTGACTGAACAGTCCCTAAGCAATGTGGGATAAATCCAATTTACCCTCTTTGGAGCAGGAATGTTCAACTGGATGATCTCCAAAGGTGCCTTCTAACACCAGCAATTTCTGTGACTTGTGATCTTCATCTTTAGGTGACACCTTATCCTCAGAGCAGCTACTGACCAAGTCCCCTACCTTCTTTCAGGGGGAAAATTTGACATAATACTTTTTCCATAATTTGTTTACACCCCTGGGCCTTGCCAAAACCAGCCATGAGCGCTTGAGTCAGAGTCACATTAGACTGCCCCACGACTTCTGAGGCTGCTTTTGCAGTGTGTTTACAGAGAACCATGGACAGATTACAGTGAAAACTTGTCATTGAAAGCAAAAAGATCTTCAGGAGTMAGTCCATAGACTTCTACACAGGACAAATGTACAGAATAACTATAAGGCAGTGTAGAAGAATGCCTTGCATAGCCAGAATTATTTTACTATTAAAACAACACAAACTCACACATTTCCAAGTTAGTTTATGCTTAGACTACTGACASAGCAAAGCTTCTGACCTGGGAAGGMGCAAGCAGTTGTRCTTGTACAACCAGAAAACCCAAACCTTYTGTCCCTGAAATCTTTGCACGGCTGAAGAAAGATTTCTAATTCAAAGCATGCTGAGTATATAACTGAGGAATGACTGGAAGCATGAGAGAAGTCTGGGATGTTACATACGCTACAGAGATGGCTGACAAGGTGAGTTTTGATTTACAAGGAAATCAAACTGTCTACAKTGGCAAACATTCTTTGCTCAATCTGAAGCAGGATTTGATGCACAYAGTGAGATAAGGGATAGACCATTACAGTGATTCCTCTCCATGGGAGAGCTGCCCCATCTGTGAGCCAGGATAWGCTGCAGTACCAGGCAGTGGATGAMTGGYTTGACCTTGCATTWGTCAAGATTAACTTACTGTACCCTAAGGTATATTGATGAAACAAACATTCATTAGGAAAACAAAGCTGATCTGACTGTACACTGTTCAGAGACAGACTAATGACACTTTATTCCTTTCTAAACTATTAAAGCACACTTCAATGACATTTGGTATAAAAACTTCTCATAAGGATGAATCTTTATGATTTTTGAATTTAGACCTCCACGTTCTTTAGCCTTCCACTTCCCTACCTATCAGTATATACAGGTGACTGAAAGAACATATACACAAAGCTGAAACAGCAGCTTGTATTCTTTCAGGTAAAGTGCAAACTACATGATACACACTAGAGGAGGYCAGCTGCACATTGGACTGTCATACAAATTTCAAATATTAGCACAAAATTAGCAGTAACAGGACAGTTTCCATCTCCTTTAAAAAACTGATAGCTATTTTTTTAAGCTATGCAGGTTTTTGATAAGAAAGGCTACTTCCATACCCAAAGCTAATCAAGTGGAGTTTGATTTTTTTTTTTTTTTGTTTTGTTTTCCCATAGATGTAGAAGAGAACAACATGAGTGATTCATGAAATGGAAACATTGCTGAAAGCAGACAGATGCATGACTGGGAATAAAAATGTATGAGCTCATTGCCTGTGAGTTGGAGATGAAAGGATATCTCTATTTTAACCTCCCAAGTGCGGGATTTATTTTTTCTTCCTCTGTTGGAACTGACTCTTAGTAAACCTTTGAATGAAARGAACATTTCAGAATGATCTCTGTTGATTCCTGCAAGTAAACAGAATATTTAACACTGCCGCACTCTTGGACAGGAGAATATTCCCCACTTCATCACTTTTGGTGTGAACTGAATTTGAATATAAACCAAGAGATCAGACATGCAGGTGGGGAACAGAAAACTGTTCAGCCTTAGGTCTGCCACAAGGAAACAACAACAATATAATCGTGAAGCCACAACACTACTTCCAAATTAAAAATAGTCTTTAATTTGGATCTGATCATCTGCCTGAGAAACAGGAAACAGACTCTTACTATGAATTCTACTCTTACGGTCTATCTGGTCAGCGAACACCTCTCCGTAGATCATCCAGTAGGGCATGTAGAAGATGTTGCGAGCCAGCCTCCAGGACGGCTCCTCGTCTGGGTGCAGGATGGCCTGGCGGGCTACCCCAAAACTCATCAGAACCACCAGCATGATGACCACAAAGTACAGCATGTCAATCATCTGCAGGAGAGAGCACAGASAGCTCTCAGCACCAGCAGCCATTACAGGCAAGCAAGAAAACAGCAAGAGAGAATCTTCCTGACATCACTCTTTAGGTACTGCTCATGAATTAAGCATACATACAAATACAGAAAGAGCAGTTACTTAAAGGAATACCAGACTATATTTAAAAATACTTAAAATACTAAAATCTTTGCTATCCCTCCTCTTTGCATCAAATGTACTATGCTGTGCTTTCAGCCCAGACCTCCTCTAGGGTTGCAAAAGATGATACAATYGTTGATGTACAATCTCCTGTGCACAGCTGATGCTTTTCTGGATGATCCTGCTGTATCTGCAATCTGTTATTGCATGAACATAACATCTTGTGTGTGTGCATGAAACTCATATGGCAACTTTTCACAGGCTTTATTTASAGTCCTACATGATGGAAAACCTCTTTTTAAACCAGAATGGAATTTAGTTTCCCATGGAGTTCTTAAAGACATAATTTATAGCAATTTAGGCACTAACCATCTTTCCAATCATCATGACGTAAGGTCCCAGATATTTGTTCACACCAAAGATATCYAGTACTCTAATGTACCAGAAAATGATATCTACACAGTAGATCACTCTTCCATAACCCATGTAAGGCTGGTTCTGCAGACGAAGAATTGCTCCTATGATAAATACTGAAATAGCCACCAGGTCAGTAATATTCCAGTATTCCTGGAGCCAAACTTTGATTTTTTGGCTCAGCTTGCCAGGCTCTGACATCAGAATCTGAAAYAAAAWTCAAACAAACAAACAACAAAGAAATAATTAGAAAAAACTCCAAGTTACATTTTTGAAGTAATGGTTATGAAAAAAGACCAATCTTGTCATATTCAATAGGTGTCTGAGACCCCTTCCACTGCCAGCAAAATTTGTTTCAAGCAAGAATACTTTTATTATTATATAATATATATATATATTATATTTTATTATTATATAGTTATTATTATATTTTCTAATATGAGACTCCTCTCTCTCCTGTGTGGCTTCTCAACCCTGTGCATGAGTCCACGCCATTATAATCCCTCAGAGATTTTAAGGATTATGAGATGTGGGTATGGTCACACTTTACCTCTCTGACTTTCTCCAAAGCCAATGTCACAATGTAGGAGATGACAATCCATTCCTGGACTGATGGCCACCGTTCCATCCGCACCAAGATGATGTAATTAAATAACATCAAGTACCCAAGGTACGATATCTGCCAAAAAAGAAAYAAATCCTTTATAGACTCCAGGTGATGGATTCAATTGATCCTTCCAATATGGAATTATTTGAGAAGACTTTCACACATACACATACAAAAAGCCAGTCTCCACTAATTTCCATTATGAAATCCTGGACTATTAGTGTAAGTCAATAGAGCTAACACTCAGTTTTCCACAACCACTGGTGTAAATACCAAACTGGTGGTGCTGGTCTCCAAGCCACACAGCAGCCTTTGGTGACCAACCTAACAAAAATTTTGGAGACCTTGGAAATCCAGAGTTAAAAAAATCAAAAAGGATTCAATGACTTTGCAGGGAAAACAAAAAACCAGAAGCAAAACACTAACAAATGAAAAGACATTTCAGGAAGAAAATGGAGTTTTCTAAAGAGTGGAATATTCAGAGTGAAATGTTTACCCACCATCTCAAGGCAGATGTAAAGCAGRACAGGGAGGCAAAGCTGTGAGCAGCACCTGCCTGGAGGGGTAGGGAAAATMAAGAGCTCCCCAGGCCATTGCTTTSTCCACTCTGTARTGGTGTGGTTGAGACCATCTAGGCAGAATACACTCCTCATCTGCAGCCAGAGGCATGCAAACTTCATCTATCAGACCCTCTTCCTACACTTGTTACTTACACCCATCTACATGGACAGATGTTTTGGTTACTTTAAGTAGCTCCCAGTCTCAGGAGCAAGCTTTCTTTCCCAGTAAGAGCAGGGAAAGCTGCATCACCAGAGAAGAAACACCAGACAGAAGGCASTCAAATCCCCATAGCTGAGGGGCCTGATAATGCATGAAAGCAAAGCCCCCTTTGTTCATTTCCCTAATAATGTTGCTAATTAGGACATTCATATGAACCCATGTGTTGAGGCTAAGTGTGAAATATTCAGCTGCTGCAGACCCTTCTTGCACAAGGAAAAATATTTCCTTCTCTGCAGGAAGCAGGCGTGCAGCAATGCCCTCCACACTGGCACAGCCACAGGCCTCCAGCAGCTCAGGGAACCACAGATGCTGTGGAACATATGATCCAGACAGCTGAATTATCTCATTTGCTCAAAGAAGCAAAACAGAAATTCTAAAGCACTCTAAACCAGACCCTTTGTGCCTGGAGCTTTTTTAGTCTACTAAAATGTAATTTCTTTGCACTGTAAAACCATGTTGAATACTTYTCTTTGAAATCAAATAGGAATTTTGCTTTTAAGTTATTAATACAGGCAGCAGAAAGGGATCAATATAGTGTTTATTGATTAAAATGTGCTAAAATTAAAACCTGCATATTATTATAACCTACTAAGCATCATGCATCCTACACAATTTTGAACAAAAAATAAACAGGTATCCCTGTTACAGGGCACACACAAAATTTATGAGCAGAAGCATGAAYACATGTTCTGTTTTATTATAACCATTTAACACCAGATAATTCTTGATGCAATAAATAGAAAATCAGATGTATGTCAAAAAGAAGTACTTTAGTTTAGATAGGTTTTAACTATTTTAGTAAAAGTACCTATGAAGTCTTAGCAGACTGAGATCTGTGGTCCATCTAGGCTGCACCCATCTGTGCAACAGGGCAAATGGCAAACACAGATACTGGGGGGTTACTTCAGGGGTCATAAAGGACATTTCAATGAGCCAGGACCTTTAGAAAGCAAGAGAATGCAGCCTAGTTTGGATTGARTGAAGCTTGCACTTGGTTTGGTGTRTGATCAGCCACACAGAGCCTCCTTCAAAGCACGTAGAAGCCTTAGAGGCTGACAGCATAAGCTTCAGTTATTCATTCTGTTTCAGTCTCAGTGCATTTTTCTCTGAAGAAAGGGAGTGCTTTACTCATCAGATTCCATGAAATAGTATCAGATTTCCAGTAAAATATTTATTTATTACATGATTACTACTTTTACATTGGAATCCTCTCAGTTTCACAGGTGTGAGCAAACCCATCACTATCAGTTTAATCATCATAACTTACTGTGTAAAACCAAAATTTGACAATAGGCGCATTATAAAATTCATAGATCTTTGTTCCAATTGGAAGGCTCTTTTGTTTTTTCTTTCCATTCTCTTCATCCCCTTTTCGGGAGCCTGTATCTGCATTTGCATCCTGGAAGATCAAAGTTGTCAGATTTCATCAATATTCAGCAGTAAAAATAGTAGCTTTTCCTCAGCCACAGCCCCAGTCAACTGTTAACCAAGCAGGGATTCCCCTGGGCAACAGACCTCTTTTTAAAAAGTACAGAAATAGAATTCTGTAAATCTGTGGARCTACACAGACACTTCATGTGCCATGAAAATCCACTCTATACACTCCCAAAACTCATCACTGATTTTATCCCACATAGGCAGTTGAGATTTTAACCTGAGTAAGCTACAGAATAATCAGAAAAGTGAGAAAAATGAGCACTCTTGAGATATTAGAACTTTCTAATAATCTTCATTACTGACCGCATTTTCCTCCTCCTTTTCTTTGCCTTCCTCATTTTCTTTTGATGTCTGGTAGGAGTGATCATCGTAACTCCGATACTCCAGGAAAAGGATGGTGGGAGGGAAGAGAATTCCCATTATAACCTGGAAACAAGAAAGAATTCAGCTTAATGTTCATTTACATTACAGATTTTATAACAAGGCAAGTCCCATTAACARAATTTTCTTTTGTACAGTATTGAAGATATTCTGCCATCCTCAAGCCTAAAAAATTAATTAAGTACTTATGAAGCATTGACAMTAAGGTATTGCATAAAATATGGCACTCTGGAAGGCCTCCCATCTTCACAAAAACTCTGCAGTTAAGAAATTGTGCTCCAGCTCACAGAAGCAGGAAATAAAAATCACATGGTTTCACACARTGCAATTGCAGAGATTTCACTCCTTTCAACACTGAGTCTCAACTGTCTCTTCTGGCAGGATATTAAGCAATATAAGAAGCATGTGTCCACATCTGGTTTGTTTTATCTCTATTCCCATTGCGTGGACCCCTAATGGAGATCYTTTTGCTTGTATCCAACTAATTTTTAATAGAAGGAGTATGTTCTTAATTAACGAATCTCATGCTTTATTGAAAGCCACAACTTCTCAGATTCCAATCATGTTAAGTCTTTTATGGAGTTATATTTTCCTTTGTCATGGCATAACGTTCCTTAGATATCCTGAATTTGGAAACAAATTAGCTTTAAAACAGACATGTTTTTAAAGCATCACTAAGTAAGCCATTTTTTCTATGCAAACACAAAGTGCCCCATACAACAAACTCTCTTTGGAAGCTCTGCACAACAGAGATACCTTAAGGCCGGGGTTCTTGCGCATGCGCAGGCGCCCCATCCACATGTCTGTGAGGAGCATCTGGCTGCAGGTGTGAGCAATGAAATCTCTGTGTTTAGCTGCCACAGCCAACTTCAGGCAGGTGGAATTACTCCAGTTCTTCAGTTCGTACGTCAGCAGTTTCATGGCAATCTGCTCATCATGTTTATAGGACTGATCCAGGAGTTCAACAGCCAGCTGGCCAAAATCTCTGGAAGATACAAGGTAAGACCAGTGAAGTTTGACTTAGAAATCAATTTAACTTTCAATTTAATTTTTAATTGTTCACAGGGCATCATGTTTATCCACACACATATATAGTGATCTCAAGCTTGATTTGGGACAGTCTACAGAAGTTTCTAACAAATTGTGAGTGAACTGAGGGAATTCACTTAGACTGATAACATCCTAAAGGCAGTTTAGATGTATCATCAGATACTTCTTAACTTACCTGAGTTAAATTATTAAATCTAAAAATAACTTTGTGAAATAAAACTAGCCAGTTTTACAGAGAGAAGCTGAAGAAAAAAATGCATTTTCAGAAAAAAAATGCAAGCCTTCTCCTCGCTAGCATTGTCTTGAGATCCCAAGAGCACATTTTGCCTTGTCTACAGTTGATAAATTGGCTCCAAACGGCATTCTGTGAAACTACACTGTAGAAAGGAATTAACTAAAAGTAAAACTTCTSAGCAAGCTTGTATCAAGTAGATATAAAACCTGCTCTGCATCTACTAACTTTGAGTTGTTGTCCAGATCCTGAGAGATGTCATCCACCAGCTCACTCTCAGAAGACTCRTGGGCCATAGACTTGTAGAGTTTACAAGCCACAAGTGCCTTGGCCATGGATTCCTCCCCTCGTTGCCAAAGGAAGAGGGCCATCTTCTGCCGTTTCATCAGCACAGCCCACACCATCAGCTCATGGAAGGGGTACTGAAAGCGGCTGACTTCKGGATCATCCACATCAATGTCAATCTCTTCCTCCTTTTTTTTCTTTTTCTTCTTCCCTTTGGTAGGAGGCTCATCATCCTGGGAGAAAGGAAGAAAAATTATTCCCATCAGTTTCTAAGAGCTCACCAGACAACAGCGCCATGCACRGAACAAGTACTGAGCGGACACTGAGGCACTCAAAGTTCTAATTTGGTTTTGCTGTTTGCTACAATGAATGCAATAGGACAGAGCATGCGTGGGGCAAGCACACACAGACTCAGGCTTTATCCAGGGTACTGTTTCTTGTACACATAATTACAAGTCACCCATCCTGGAAAAGTGCAGTAGAAGCCCTTGGTACTGAAGGCATCTCTTAACACTGCACTGTACCCAGATCTCTACTGCATGGCAAAGTGCATAGGTTGGTCTGCAAGCAATTAATGAATTAATTCCTCTGCAGTGTCAGTGAGGCTCTAACAAAGCTGAATTCCCTGTGGATAGGCTCCACTCTTTTCTGATCCCCTATGTCTGTGTCTATCCTGCAGAGCAGTGCTGCACACCTTACAGGGATCACAGCACTCCTCAGACTGACGTGCAGCTCATGGCAACATGCAAACAGCACAGACAGGCACACAGAACCCCTGAGAACAGCAAGATACTGAAGGCAGTCTTCACCTTGGAATAAGCAATCTCCTCYTATGTATGCAGTGCACATGGAAGGTATTAAGTATCCCATTTCTTAAAGGGATGGGGAGGATAGGCCATTACTACAGGAGCCAACATGGGAGTAACTGAAGGGAAGTAGTGACAATGAAGCACGATCCTGAAGGGAGAAAAGCCATGATTGGGAAAATTAGGGTTTAAAAAATGTAGGAAGAACGTTGCATATATAAGTGTAGACAAGGATCATCATGATTGTAGACCTTGATTCCAATTTCAGAATTGCAAATAAAAACAATTGTTATTCTACAAAATCAGATCTTGTTCAAGTAAACTCAACATAATGCACTATTTTTCAACAAAATGTGAACCTAAATCCAAATTCCGAGTTCAGCCTCCAACCCCARGTTTCCAAAGATGACTCTTCAGCTCAGCAATTGAGTGTGTACTTCTCCTCCAGCAGTTTTAAGAACTGCAAGTGGTGACCTCTGTCTTCTATGGAAAATTAAGGGGTCATTAATTGCATGAGGTATGTACCATTTCTAAAGTACAGGACATAAAATCTCAAATGGAGGACCAAAAATTAGGTCCTCTACACACTAGGAAAATAAAATAAGAACAAAACCCTGTGTAGAACAGAAAGTGCTGTGGAGCCTAAACTTTAGGCATCATGCCAAATTTGTTTCTGCTCAATTTCTGCAGACACACAAGTAATTGAGGGAAGGGCTGGACCCAAAATTCTGGATCAGGCTCACTGTTTACAAAGCATGGTGTCATCACAATAGCAAGGATGTTTTATGGTGGACAGCATCTGACCACCTTGGTTTTTCACTCCAGTTAAATGTTTTCTCTATGCTAAAACATCATTAAGCACAGAAATTGTTATTTCATGGTTAAAGGGGATTTCACCATAAGTAGCACTGTTGGATTACATTCTCCTCTCAATACCATTAATGTATATATATGAATAATTAAATCTACAATATGTTCCAACATGAAGCATGTTATTACATAATTGTCCTAAAAATTGCCTAAAGATCACTGAGCAGAGCTTTAGGCAGTTCTAAAGATTCTGCCCTTAAAAAATGGTCAGAACTGTTTCATATAATGTTTGCACAATGGAATATCCTGTCTAATTGAAATTTTCTGTCAGTCACAGTAAAAATGAAAAAGCTAAAAGCAAGAACAGAACTGTACCAAGAAATRTTTTGATAAAACGAGTATGTTAAGCAAATCCAACTTACCTCCATCCCCAGCAGTTTAAGAGCTTTTGGCTGAATATTAAAAAATAGAAAAGAAAATCAGTTAGATGGGAGGAAAAATTGAAAGACCAAACAATACCAAGCAAACCCATTTTCATTAACAAATGTACAGCATGTATTATGAAACTTACTGTTACAAATAATTGTACCAATAGTGCTGCAATTAGTTACTCTTAATTGTATTTGAAGGAATGCAATGGGTTAGGAAATATCTATCCTGCACTCAAATTAAGATTTTAATTCAAACTGAAGAGTTAAATGAATCATTTRATAAATGAGAATTAAAATCATCACATGGTCACAAAAGTTAAAAAAAAAMCCAGCACTTCTAAGCACACCACAGTTAGAAATACTTGGATTGTAAACTAAAGGAATAAGAGTAAATTCATCTCCAGATCAGTGTATTCACCACCTCTTGTGTCCTCACATCCTTTAACATAGTTATCTTACAAGTTTTTTATGAAACTTTACTCTTGGAGTTTTAACTTCTACCTTGCAGCATTTCTTTAGAATTTAATTTGCAGAGTTTCACAAAAACAAGGGAATAGAGTATTGCTTATTTTTTACCACTGGCAAAATGGCCGTATCCAGAATGAACTCATTCTTACCCTCTTTGGTCCAAATAAATTATTATAAAGAGTCCGAAAACTTTTCCGAGTATAGTTGCAGCGGTAGGCTCCACCCATGAGATATTCCAGAACAAGACCAATATCTATTAGGCTGATATGATAATCTGGTGGAAGATTTCCCTACAAAAAAAAAAACAAACAAACCACAACTTAATGAGGAGTTAGGATGAGAAAACATGACACAGATTAAATTGCCTGGCTAAACAAAKGTCATGATTAAACTGGCACATGGGTATTCTTTACAGCCACTGAATTCAGTCTTTGAACATTTGTATGAAATTAATAGTAACTGATTCACATAATAAAAATTTCTAGGGTCATAGCTTTTTGATTTTCTTATAAGCAGAATCCATAATTGTGAACAAATTTCCATTTGATTTACTCATATGTCGCTGTCCATACAAGTTCACTTTGTTTACATGGGTTATAYTAATSATTAAGAAATTTTGTATTGATTAYCATTWATCAAATATAAAAGCATGAATATTTCATGGTGAATATCCCTGATATKCATACATTCAAACTTATATTTCATCCTATTATCTACAGTTGAGACTACAATGCAAACCACAATYAATGGGCAGCCCAGAATCAAAGCAAAAGGCAAACTCTAATTTCAGTGGTTACAGCTAAAACTGGATAATTATATTGACTCTACTAGAAAAAATAAACGATCTCCATTGTCCAAGCTACGTCCTAGAGCAATGACTGATTCTACATCAGCTGCTAGGATGGAACAACTACAGCCTAAGGAAGCACATCACCTCCATGTTAACCCAACTGAGTCCCCGGGATTGCCGCTGGGGAGAGCGTGGAAATGAAATGAGAAAGAGGAGAGACAGACAGCAGAATGCAGATGAACATTAGTAACACTCAAAGTGACAACATTGAACAAGAAAAGTGTTAAACTATGAGAAAGATGAAGATGAATTATACATTAACCCAACGCTGCATGACTCCCACATCTGAACCTCCCTGGAACAACTGGGAGTTTTCCTAGCAGAAATGAATACAGCAGATTTCATGCAGCTGAATTTTACTGAATAAAAGCTTCAAAACCTCAAGGAGGGGAAATACGACAAATCTCACAAGGACCCTCCTTTATTGACAAATAACGAACAAATTTACATACAATGGTAACAAATGAATAACAAATTTAGAGCAGAACAGAGTTTGTCCCAGGTAAAAGTAGGACTGTGGGAGAAAAATAACTRGAAAACACAAAAGGAAACAAACAAAAGGGAACAAATTTTGCAATCATGAGTAGTGCTTCCAGTTAATCTAGCAGTCCTTTCCTTCCACTCCTCTGCTCTTATGCTGCATTGGGAGCTTCTTGCAGAGAAAAAACAGTAGCAATCTAAATTTCAAATGCCATATTACACTACTAAGAATTTAAGTTAGTTAACTCCCTAGTTTTAATTTTTTTTAAAAACTTCTTAGTCGTGTTGGTCACAAGAAGATATTTAACTTTCCTTAACAGCTGCCATCTAATTTCAAATGCCAGCCCCCCATGCTATGCTTGCTTTTACTGCTGATTCACGTGGCTAGTGTAATCACACAAATRTAACACTGTTGTTAGTAAAGCTTACCTTTTTCACATCTCTGACTAGCAAATGCAGTGTATTTGGTGGACCCAATCTCTGAAAAAAAAAATCATGGCTCATTAGAGCTTTAATTCTTCAGATTTTTTTTCAAACATGAACATGATTAGTGATCTGGCACCTTAAGCAGAGCTTTAGACCACAACCATGTGCCATCACACTCCAGAGGAGTGAAAAGAAAGAACTGGGCTACAGTGACAAACACCWTTCTATCAAGAGCTGTGTAATAACCCTTTTTTATAAAATTCTCTGTGGTGATTCAAGTTCCATACAATACAGTAGCAAAGACATCACTGGGCATTTTAGTATTTCTGCTGACTCACAGTATTATAAAGCTCCTCCAGGCGAGGAATGGTCAGGAAGTGCTGCATATTCACTCCATTCTCAATAAGCAGTTTCACAAAGTCCACTCGATCCAGAACCAGKGCATCCAGCATAGCCTGCTCCAGGGAATTCACCTGAATTGCAGAGGGAAAATGTGTAACTACATAAATACAAACCAGTTGGTTGGCTAACAACCACAAGCCTTTTCTAGCCAACCACAAGCCCTTTCTTAGGATTTGGACTGAGTTCCCAAATATTGATTAGTCTGTAAGTAAAAAGGAATTTAGAAAGTAACATTTTACCCATATGCAAATGAATAGAGATAACAGAGTTTTCCAAACCTTTAGCAATACAACTGTAGCTTTCCTTCTTTCACCTTGGAGGTTTCAATCACTTTGTTCAGTRCTTTTAACTAAACCAGGCATGCCATGCTTGACATATTATATATAAAAGGGATTTACTTGATCAGCATGATAGGAACAMGTTAAAATAACTCATACACAGGAGGATGATGCTCACTGGTGTTCTTATTTCCTTCTGACAAGTGCAGGGAAGAAGATGCTGCAGCTCAGCACTGACTTGTACTATTGGGATATGGCTTCATGTGGTGCCCATGGGAGGAGAGAGGGATTCTTGGCTCAAACACTGACAGCATTCCTGCAGAATCTACTGATCTTGTGGCACTGTGCAAATGAGTATTCTACAGAATGAAAGTGTGTGTTTTCCCTCTGTCTTTGTACATAAGAATGAAACAAGAATCTTTAACAGTTTTAATACAARTACTTCAATCTCACCCAGTTCAGGAGTTCAAGTTTCCTTGGGTCTGTTTCTTCTTCTGGTTCTTCTTTTGCTTTTCCTCCCTTTTTCTTCCCTTTTCCTTTCCCTCTGCCTGCTTTAGCCTGAGGTACTGGAGATTTCTTTTCCTTCTCAGGAGCTGCACCATCAGGAGCTGTAAGGCTTCCTAAAGGCTGTATTTATAATGCATTAAAGTATTAGAAATTTAATTGATCGTAGAATAACTATTGAATTGAGTATACTCTTACCAAACTTGCTCTCCAGTCACCACTTCTCACACAGAGTCAACTAATAATTGCTCTGAGTTTAAGGACCTTTCTGCATAGTCACAGCTTTACTCTTTTTTTAAAGCTATTACGTCTAATGTAATCAGTAACATTGAAAGTCAAAGCAGTGAAGGAGATTGACTGGGGAGGATTTCTCTCGAAAAATAAAAACAGTTTGAAAGGAGGGCTGGGACACTTYGGTTCCTTTTGMTCTCYCTGAAATAATTGTCAAAATACATARCAAYAAGAGCTGGGCAGAAAGAGCTTAACAAAAATGCTACATGATGCCAAATAGCATCCATACTGCAGAGCAGAGAGAAGGTGGAGGGGCCCTCACTGGTTCATTTCCATTCTGCAGGCAGTATTTCTGTTTATACCTCTCAAGACACATTTAGTCATCACCTRATGTCCTTCCCCTCTCCAACCTATCTGCCCAGGGCAGAGGCACACATGGACCACAACACTTATCTGCCATCTGGAGGCTTAACTTGCTCCAGATAATGCTTAGGTTACATAAACTCCACAGACAAGAAAACTGGATTACAACTACCTGTGCTCTACACTGACAGCCWCAGCACCAAGCCTTTAACAAGGCTTCTATCCTGGGCTTTCATTAGTCTTTAAAAACTCTCCTCTGCCCAGCTACCACAAATCCATTGCTGGACAAATCCAGCCTGCACAAAAAAAAAATAGGAGTTATACTTCCTAATCTTTAGGATTAATAAATCTTCTCCATATAAACATTTTAATGAACCTTGAATATAGAAATCATCACACTATTAGAAGTGAAGAAAGAAAATTGCATATGCAGCAACATTTGTTTAAATTTAATTGTACAGGCTTTCAAATGAAATTAATCTCTCCATTATGCACAGCATGCACATGAATGGTATTCCTTTGAGTGCCCTTTTATTGCATAATTTTAAGAAAGACAACTAAGTAAAAAAAAACACCAAAATTTTTTTTTCCTTCATTCCTATAATCTCTTTCAGGCTGCTCTCCTCATGACACTTCTCGGAATTCAGCATCAGATGGTTCACACAGTAAAAAGCATCAGTACACTGAGACATGAAAGTGGCTTAAATAGAGGATTTTAGTTATGCAGATGAACTGCAATGTTTCACCACTGCTGCCAGTGCAGCATCAAAATCCAAGGTGTAAATAACCCACGATTTAATTTAAACTACTGACAAACAAAATGAGAAAGAAAACTTTGTCTTACTGGCCAGTGGTGTCCGAAGACAAAGATTTGGCTGCGTGCAATGTCTACACGGTTCCAGGCCAAAGCCAGGCTGAGCTGGTCTGGAGCAGATGCATTGGTACCTAAAGAGAAACACACAAATGTTGAGTATTTCACAAATGATGCAATAAGGCTGGACAACCTTCCACAGTTCACTTCAGCAAGGACCAGAAAAGAGCAAGCCTGGCTCTGTATCATACTGCCATTAGAATAATTCTGCCATAAAGCAGTGGATTCATCAAATCACTTTATAGCATCTTCCATTTAACCCCATAATCCTAATTTCCAAGGTATTAATGAGATTATCTCCCTTTTTTTTTAAAAAAAAGCTTCCAACAGACTTTTGTTCTGATGCTGAAGACAGACATTTAGCTCTTCTAAAAGACCCCTCTCAGCTCTTCTGGCTGATGCTGTTGTTAAGAGTGTAAAATTTCCTCTTTTTATTCCTTTGCTCTGGGGACTCCAGAGATCCCATATTGAGCCTGTGTCAACTACTATATACCTGCAGATAGAAAACAGTTGTTTCAGCAAACATAACAAACCCCAAATAAATATGGAAGCGATCCTATTGCTCCAAGGTTTAAATGATATCATCTGAGATCTGGAAAAGTCCAGACAGCGTTTTTTCTTCCAACCTTTTTTTTTTTTTCCTAACTTTATTAACGTATGCTAGAACTGCAGTAAAACAAGCTCAATTATCAGCAGTGCAATTGTTGCAGCACTCCCATCCCAGGCTTTTGGGGGAGGAAAGCCACACAAAACTTTCAATCCAGATTTTATGCTTCATGCTAATCTGAACATTAAGCAAACACGTTCAGGTACTTGTTAGAATCCAAGTGTAGAAACCAAAGACTTAGACATGAAGAGGGAACCTCAGACAATGCACAGGAATGTCTTCTGGGGTCCTTTTGTGCATCCTTGCTAACATCCTGGCAAACCTACCTTTGAGGAGAGCAGTCAGGATGGACATCTCAATGTCCTGCTGCCCTTCGGAGCCCATGCGGAACACGGTGATCTAAAGGGCAGCACAAAACCAAACACACAAAATTACAGCACAGCAAAAAGAGAGACTCAACACATGGATAGAAAATAGACCAYAATGCTGCAGCTTTATTATTTCCTAAGACTTAGGATTTTTCAAGAAGTACTCTTACACTAAATTTTTCTTTGAAATTTAATTTTCCCAGAAGCGTTTAATTGAATTCTGTCAATCAAGTTATGCTAAAATATCCCTGCATTGGTAAACATAACAAAACTTGATGAAAATCTTCACCAAACCCACGGATTTTAAAAAGTGGTGACAAAACTGCCATGCAAAACTGATTGTCTTCTGATGTTTCTATTACTTTTCAATTGTAATGGAAATTGAAATGCTAGTTACCCAAGATAATTACCATAGCATCCATTTTATTGGTGATAACACCCAAATATTTTTTAGCTGCAGGATATATCATATATGACAATCAAAAAGGCAGAATCAAGTAAAGAAAGACAATTATTTCTAGTCACATTTGCTAACTTCAGCCCATTACAATCCAATGACTTCAAAATAGTAACTGATGCAAAGTAGAGCCTGTTAACTGCAGATTAGAAGATTAATAATTCAAAAGCAGATTAACCAAATATTCTATRTTAACAAAGTTCATACCAAATACAGACAAAAAAACCCCCAAATTCTTAATTTTCCAGAAGCAACTATTCACATTAACTGCTGAGAATAKAATTTTCTCAATAGTTAGAACATATTTTACAGGAATGCAAAGATACATGACATTAGAAAAAAAAGAGCTATAGAAAAAATATTACGAATTAACAAGAAAGCAAACAAAACTATCAACAGAAAACCATAACCATAAGTCTGCTTAGGCTGCACAGCCAGTGTCTGATTTTCCTGARTAAACCAGGCCTGCTCTGGTGCACATTTTAAATTCAAAACAGTCTGACTAAAGAAGCTGTGGGCTCTCTTCTCTCAACCAATTGTTCTAGGAAGGCTGACTCCAGTCAGCTTGTCACCTTGTGCACATTTAATGGAGCTACATGAAAAAAAATAGTTTAAACTATACCCCTGCAAAATGGCCCTTGAAAGTACTCTATAAAGTTTGGTCACAGAAATTACCTTTGTGAACTACTTTTAGGACACTTACAAGTTCTTTTTTCTTCATGCACTCCATAAGAATGACAAACAGCTGATGAGCTTGATTTCTGTTGTAGTTAAAGGTTTTCTGGATGGTAACTAGAAGCTGGTCCCTAAGGGATTCATTTATTATCCTAAATGAAAAATAGACATAAAAGAAGACATTGTCAGAGTGAATATAATTTCAGAAAGCCTGCTGTTTAAGAAGCAATAATATAAAAGTATTCCTTTCATATATCATAGACATACTTCTGTTAACAAGTTCAGTCTTCATGATTTTACCTTTGGCTTTACAGAAGCCCAAGTTTTGCTTCTAAATGTTCCGAGTCCCTTTGMATACAGCTAAAAACCCCAAAATACTTCACATTTCTGATATGTCACCTTGGTTATCATCTTGAACAGAGGATTGAACTTGCTAGTGCATCTAAAACCTCATAATACCCAACTGAGAAACAAATGAACCACCCAAAAGATAGGACATTCTAGAAAGGTCAGAAATGTTTGATCTCTGAAAGYAATATGAAATAGCCCTTCAATCTTRATCCATTTCCTAATAAAACATGTATTTTCAGATTATGGCAAACATTACCAGCAGGTACCCAAGAGAAGCAGTAAAATTCTAAGTTCACTGAGAAAATGATTGGACTGACAAAAAATTCTCATTACAGATTTGCCTYACTAGACGAAGACATTAATCTTATCATAATTATTGGAGAAGAAAATTGGACACTGCATCATATGCACTGGGAGAGAAAGTCATGCAGGGAACACACCTCAGACAGACTGATCCTGATAAGCTCTTTCAATTACCTATGAGCTGATAGGAAGAATGAATAAGAAA